ATAGACACTTTTTGTTTTGTTGAAAAACTAACAGGCTTGTTAATTTTTCCTTAACATGAAATTCTCGCAGGAACTACATTTTGTCCATCAGTGCGTCATCGGGACTTATTGCCCTCCTGTCCACAGGCTCCAAGTAGACCCCGCGGCCCCAGGCTCTGAGGCCCTGGGTGGCCTGTGGTTTAGGGAGAGCAGCAGGGTGGCCTGGTGGGAGACACACAGATGTTGTTATAGTCTGGAATTTGAGGGTTTAAAAAACCCAACAAAATGTAATTCAGTGTTTGTGTATTGACCTTTTTGACAGATTTTTGAAATTAAATGAGTTGAAAGGGAAACTCAGAGTGCCCTTTTCATTAAAAGGCAAGACGCGTCTTGCAATGTGCTGTAATCACAGGGGAGAAAATGACTCGTTTCCTCTGTCAGAGGTCACCGTAACCTGGGCCGAGCTGTTATTAGTTATAATAGTCGCAAGAAGTTAATAACGGGTTCTCTGGGTTCCAAGCATAATATTACAACTTTTTTTTGAACCAGAAATATCAGAATGAATCCTTTCCCCGAGGGAGCTCATACTCACGAGGCTCTAAGTTAGTGACTTGGAATGACCCGATTAAAGTTAAAAACGTGGTTTCAGAGACACTTTTGGAATATGTTTTTTTTTATAAGAAGAGAGGCAGCCAGGGTAATAACCTAAAAATAGCGAGCAGGCGTCTGAGAGCCGCCCTGCGGGGCGGAAGTACACACCGTGCCACTGGATGGCTTTGGCGCTAGGTGGCCTGGGAGGTCAGCCTGACCCTGCCACGTTGGTTTGAGACCGGAATTGTTGTTTTTCTTGACCAGGGTCTCACGCCACCGGAGGAATGTTAAGTAAGAGAGATGACTTCTGTCCTGAATATTGACATGTAAAAGACCCAAGTAATGTTTGTACTCTGAGTTCGAGAATTCTAAGAACTCTCCAGAAGAATTACAGTGGTTTAAGTAAGAGAGAACTTTCCTGAATACTGACATGTAAAAGACCCAAGTAATGTTTGTGATCTTAGTTCTGGAATTGTGGGAACTCTCCAGAAGAATTACAGTGGCTTTAGTGCTTGTAAGCTTGTTTCCAGCAGGCCTCTCATAAACTTGATCCATTAGCCCAGAGCTTCCCACTGACTGTGAACCAGATACTGATCCCATCAGCCTCGGGGGCCCAGCCGAGAGCGGTCTGTTGCGTTTTCCCCGTGTGTGTAGAGAGTATGGTTTTCTTGTCTGCCACGACTTGAAGAAGTTGGGGAAGCCCTTCTGTAAGTTGTGTCACTTAGGAGCTTATGGGATCAGGGGGCGGTCGTTGGTTTCCCAGTCCTCTTAGCTTTTGACCACACCCAGTTATTTCCTCCAGGCAGAACTTCAAAGGCAGTATTGTGTTCCTACTCTTTAGTTTGTACTTCTGAATTTAAGCGGAATGTCACCAACGATAGTAGCTGTTTTAGCTGTCACTTTATAAAAAGGTATTGTTTGGGCATTCATCTTGCAGCCCCCTGCTGGTGGATGTTTTGGTGGGCCACATCCCAGGACTTGGAAGGAGACGGGGGCAGGAGTCCCATTTGGCAAAGGTGACCCAGAGCATCACTGCCTGCATTTGAGGATTATATTTCATTGTTTCTGGAAGTTTGCGATTGCTTACTTCTCTCTGAGGCTTTGTTATCTGAATGGAACCACTGAATATCACAAGTGGAGGGGCAATCAGAAGAGGCTGACTGCAAGAGACAGGGTAACACATAAGAGGGTTTTCTAACTTTTCATTTTTGTTGATAGATAATCGGTCAGTAGTTCAAAGTTGGCACTGAATTTCTGTACAAAATGCATTGGCTTACTTGATCAAATAACTACTTGACAAGCTGTCAGTGTCTGCTACTTTTTTACCAGAACTGGGCCAAATACCTTTTTTAAAACCCCAGGGGAAATTCTGCCACTAGATGGCAGTGCCTGTTAGATGGGAAAAAATTGCTGCCCTTCTTGGTATGTAACAGCGTAGCTCAGCCGGGTGGTGACGGGGATTCAGCTAACGTTCTCAGTAGAATTTCTCTTGAATGACTGAACTGAGTCATTTGTGAAGAACAACGTTTGTTTCTGGTTCTGAATTTTTCTGACGGTACTTTTTGTTTTTAATCCTGATAATGATTTCTGACTTTGTATACTGTTAGATAAATTTCTGTGCATAAGATTATAGAGCATATACTCATTGTTCCACAGTTTGTATTAAGGATTTATTGTGCCAGTAATTTACTTCTGGGAATTAGAGAACCTTTTTCCCAGTGTTCCTCCCTTCTCTGTGGCACACAGAATTATACTATGCCGAATCTGATGTAGTTAGTAAAAGCCAGCTGTAGAATTTCTACCTTAGAAAGATTCCATATCCAACAACAGTTAAATAAAAGGGGTTCTGCTGTAATTAGGATTCAAAGTGATTAAATTTCTTTTTTCAAACTCCTTGTGATAAGTAGAGAGCCCTGGTGGCGCAGTGGTTAGGAGCTCGGCTGCTAACCCAAAGGTCGGCAGTTGGAATCCACCAGCCACTCCTTGGAAACCCTGTGGAGCAGTTCTGCTCTGTCCTGTAGGGTCGCTAGGAGTCAGAATCCACTCCCTGGCAACAGACTTTGTGCTAAGTGGAGACTTGCGGTGTTGCCACATTTCACGCTTCTCTGTTTTAGCTTCCTCGTTTACATCTTAATAAAAACCCTGGATTGAAACTGCTCTTAACCAGTAAAAGTTTACTGGTTGCTCCGCCCTACTTGGTGTATTGTTACAGCTTGGAAAGGAAAATTTGAAAGAAGATTTGAAATCAGCTGAAAGGTGGACATCAGATTCATACCTAAAACTCTTGTGAAAGGTCTTGCTTATTGAGTTTCATTAAACTTTGCTTTTTAAAATTTGTATTTTCCCAGACCTCTTTATAGGAGCCGTGTGAATAAGAACACCCTCTTTATGACATTATTGTACGTTAATCAGCATTTCAGTGTCCCGCACGTGTAAATGTGCAGTTTTGCAGTTACTGATCGAACGTCTGGGAGAGGACAATGACCGGCACAGTGCAGCTGCGGTGAAGCGCCTGTTTGCCAGTATGTGCCTGCCCAGCCAGCTTCAGTGTTTTCAGTGTTCACCGTGGTTTAGAGACCCGTGGGAAGGATACAGACACATGTACATGTATGTGTGTGTCTGTGAATATGGAGAGAGAACGGGGAGCAATTTACAGATACATGTCGTGGCTCTAAGGAGTTCTCTCTTATCTTAGATTCCCAAGCAAGGGAATTCACTGAAGATTAGAAGGGCTTTTTGGTTGGTTGGTTTAGATCTTCAGGGAGGTAGTCAGAGACCTATTTCTCGTTGGCCTTTGTGGTTTTTCCTTGTACCTTTCCCTTGATCTTTCCCTCCTCTGTATGATTCCTGAATTTGGATTCATATCCAGACCTTTTAGCTTAAAAATGTATCCACATTTGAAGGCTTAGGACCATAGACTCATGGGACAACTCAGTCAGTTGGCATAACATAGTTCACAAAAATCGTGATCTGCATCTTAGGGAAATGAGTAGCATCTGGGGTCTCTGAAGCTTGCGAGGGGCCGCCTAAGCCACAGCTACAGGTCTCTCCTTGCCAGGAGCAAATCAGTTAAGCAGGTAATCAAAAGCTCAGAGAAGAAAAAGTCTACACAGGCCATGACCTCATCTGCCCTGAGACCAGAAGAACTAGATGGTGCCCCGCTACCAGCACTGACTCTTCTGACTGGGGTCACAGTAGATGGTCCCAGATAGAGTGGGAGAAAAATGGGTAGCAGAACTCAAATTCTTATTAAAAAAAGAAAGCCATACAAACTGGAACAACCGAGGACTCCCTGAGACTACCACCCTGAGACACTCTTTAAACCTAGAACCGAGCGTATCCTGAGACCACCTTTTAGCAAAATAACAGTGGCGCACAAAATAGAGGATATTACCTGTAAGGTCAGTGCCCTACACAAAAACTATCAGTATGAGAGCAGAATGTCAACAGTTACTTAAAAGCAAAGATGAGAAGATGAGGGGGCAGGGAAACTAGAGTACTGGAAATGGAACAACCAGAACACAGAGAGAATACTGACAGTGATAGATATAACTGATGTCACCAAACAGTGTGTATGGAAATTGTCAAATGGGAACCAAAACTCGATGAAATAAAAAATTTGCCCACTTTGCCCACAGTTATTTATGTGTAAAGCTCTAAAGCTTAAAAAACAGAGGAACTTGTTCCTAAAGGAGCACTGCACTGGAGCCCAGAACACTTGTCTCAGGCCTGGTTCTGCCTTCAGCTGGCAGCGTGACTTTGGCAAGTTCTTTTTGTCAAGGCCCCGCTTCCTCATTTGCCAGGGAGGACCACACCGCAAGGAGATGTGGTCTCACACATGGTTAAGGCCCCTGAAGTTCTGACATTTGCTGAGTGACCTGGGGAGTGCTAAGGAAGACATGACAGTTACTGAAGTGGTACGTCAGGTGCAGGGTGTCCAGCTGGCATTTCTCCTGGCCGAGATTTTACCACCTGGATGGCTGCTACCAGGTTACCCTTCAGAATGGTGCGTGCGTTCTCTGCTTTCCAGAAAAGAAAAAATGGGAGTGTGTGGAAATTTTACTTAGGGCTGTAACCATGAAGATGCATTTCCTACCCAGTGTCTTACCATGCGGACGATCTGCATATAAGAAATGGGCTGCTCCCTCTGGTAAGCAATGATATTTGCATTTGGTTTTAATTTGCAGGTTCTTTGCATAGGCTAGAGAAGCTTTAACCACAGTGCAAAGTATTTCTAAAACCCAGTGAGAAAGTCTACCGTCAGTGGCTAATCGTTTTCTCCATTAATAAGAGGACAAAAGGTTGGACTGCGATCTAAGCCACAGTGTTTTGCTCACTGCTGTTTCTGTCAGGAATTACTCATGCAGCTTTGTGTCCAACATAATTCTTATTAGGTGATTCTCGCTGCCTGTGAGATGGTGATCTGTACACGTTCTGTGCCTCATAATGAAAGTTCAGGGAAACCCTCTGTGAGGTTAAATGCACAAAATACTTTTATTACTCCAAGCAAATGAATAGGTTAACTCGCAGTTCCAATTCGACAGCACCTTAGCTCATTTATACACGCAGTAGTTCACTGGGTTGAATACACATTGAAGAACTGAAAGGTGATCCTTTTCCATCAGTAATCTGATACTCTCGGGCAAAACAAAACCAACGGTTTCCCTATTAGAATACAGGTAGAAGTAATCAAAAAGAAAATCTGTTGATACCACACACGAACATTTGAAGATTCAGAACTTGACTATGAAATACATATCTCGAAATGATGTCAGAAAAAAGCATTTTCAGCTGATAGTATATTCTGTAAATCTCAAAGCGATTTCCACAGGGACGACCCCCTGGCCAGGAAATTACATTAGAATTTTGTACATCCTCAGCGTCCAAATGGAGTTCAAAGGAGCAAACCAAAAGGAAAAAGTTTTCTCCTTCACAGGTGGGAACAGGCACCCTGCCTTCTAGTGTTCCTTCAGTGGAATACGCGTGAGGGTGGGTAACCGACAGTGGCAGGGCTAGCTAGGCCTCGGGTTCTGAGTGGGACAAGACTGAGCCCCTGTGACCCATGCAGAGAGTGTGCATGCATGCAGGCTAGTGCACATCCTGTGATGACAGAATCAGGAAGTTCTTTAAAGTTCGCTTTTCGTCGGGCAGGTTAATCCACCTCACATATGCTAAGTAGCAACAGCATTTTCACGAAGCTCAGGATCCGCTCAAGTGGTAACTCCTCAGAAATGTCAAGCATCAGACTGAAATCCCGGTGCTAATTACAAAATGAACATTCACCTTCCGCGTATCTCACAGGTTTACTTACACAACCGAGCGTGTGTATATTTTTAAAGCTCAAATATTTAAACTTGCAGAAGCTGTGCCTACAAGCAGTCCAGAGTAGAGAGCAGGTTTTAATAAACTAGAGTGAAAAGTGAACACTTCACTGCGGATACGTTACTTTCTGTTTTATCCGAAGCTCAGTTTCCCCGGCGGCGTAGGCCTGCCTTCCATACGTTAACACAGCGCCTCTAGTTAGGGACTGGCTGTGTGTCCTTCCACC